GTATGTTTATTAGTGACCAAGCAAGCTCAACTGAATCTCTGTGGAATAACTGACTTCTCATTTGAGTGTATTTTTGTGAATATAATTTCATTATTTTCTTTGTTAAGCTCTGCTCTCTAAAAGGCTAAGTATGTTATGGGTGTGTTTGGGCCATAAAGGCGTCACAGTAAAACCAGGGTTGATTACTTTGATGTAAGTGTGGTATAGCAGCACTTACTCCATTCTTCAGTCTTTTCTCATGGCATGCAACTCCAGCCATTGGCAGTTTGGTTCTTTTTTCCCCACATTTTTCCTTAATAGATCCCACTGTAACTAATACAAGCAACAGGCAGTTGTGGAAGAAGCAGGTTTTCAATCACTGAGACGTTTTGGTCTGTGTATCTTAGGATCTTGGTTATTCTACAGATACCCAAATACCATGTGATATTTCAGACATGAACTAATTTTTCTCTTTCACCCCAGATCTCTTCTTTAGTGATAGCATCGCAGTGCATATTCCTGTTGAAAATCTTTTGCTATCACACTGAAAGCTTGTGTGTGAGAACCTCTGCATTTTTTATATATATATATTTGCCTCTCAGCATCATGATTATACACAAATACTATGTAACTTAGGTGGCCCTGTAAACTTACAGATTACCTAAATCGTATAATTGATGCCTGATACTAAGTTTAGACTAACTACCCTGTTGAAATGGCTGTGCTGAGGTTTTGGGTATAGTCTGGGCTGATGTCATGGGAAGAACAGGAACTGCAGCATTAATTTGAGGTATCTTGCATATTATTGCCTATGATACTACCAATCACGCAGATTATGAACATTTCCCACTTACCTAGGTTTTTTTTCCTAACCCCCTTTTCCAAATGTACCAATCTTTGTCTCATTAGACCAGTTTCTGAACACTTCTACTGTAGAGAGTGCTTAGAAGAAGTAAGGGAGCAAATAATGACTCTAATTATTTGCTAGTTTAGTGCAAGGGAAAAAAGAAAGAGCTAGAGCTTCTGATTAAACAAAATTACATAGAAAAAACAGCCATAAGCTTGTTAGTTTTAAAGAATAGACTTACAGTGAATTTTTATGGAAAAAAAAGAAACCAAAGGAACTCATGAAAACCATTATTTTGCAAAATTGTTTTTGCTGGGGCAAGCTGCATTTCATAATTTTCTCTGGAAACAGTCAATATCTTGGACTAAGGAGAAGGAGATTTACAAACCTTTATATAATGTGATGTATATTCTCAATGCTTATATTTACAGCTGTCTGCTTAATTGCTCAAGTCAATCTTCAGTGCTGTGTGTGACTGTTAATTCCAAGCCGTTCTCATATTCTCAGTGCTAGTAACCTCATAGCAAGTTTGTCCTGCTCAGCTTTGACCTGCAGCCCACTTACTTGCAGGCTGACTAACATGAAGGCGATACTGAAGTTTTTTTAGAATGAATGGAAGTTGATGGTATGTTGCAGAAAATTGTGTTTTGGAGTCAAATTTTAAACAATCATATAGTTGCAAGGTATCAATAATGTGGCATGTGAGAAAAAGGAAACTCAGTAATTTACAGTCTTCTATCTATTCTTCCTGCTGGGTTTGATATAGCAATGCAACTTAAAAAAAAAAAAAAGTAAGGTTTCATTTGTTGTGTACAAATTTCTAGGCACGTAATTGTAAAGCTTGTGGTGCAGAGTCCCCCTCACCCCCTCATCACTGTTGTGGATATATTTGGCATTCTGTGCCTTACAACAAATGAGCTAGAATTAAAGAATATAACAAGGGAAGGGTATTGCATTGCCTATTTCAAAGTTGTTCAGTTAATAGGCTTCTTAATTTGACTTAAAAGAAAATAAATATAAGTTTATGTGTCTCTCTGAATACAAAGTTTTCTTGAAAGAGTCCTGAGAATTGACGGGAGATAATTGACGTCTGCTAACAAAATAAACTTAAAATTTCTAACAACTGTATGAAACTGTGGCATAGCATAAAGATGCATTAGAGGTTAAGATAAAAGTTCTGAAACAGGAAACTAAAGCTATTTACATATACTCAGGTCTATATGCAAAATACACAATAGCTAGTCTTATTAGCCCTGAAACATACCTTTCTATAAAATTTTCTTGAACTCATCTGGAAATATCAGTTATTTGGTATTAGCAGTTTAGGGTAAGTGTTACAGTTCATCACTACCACATAAACTCTTGAACTTGTATGGAAACACTTCTGACATAACTGCTCCATTTACTCCCTACTGAAGAATGTGCTGATTTTAATTGATGGGTTTTAGCAGGTGTTTTATATTTTCCAACTTTGTGGATAAATATAGAGTAATTATTCAATATTGACACTTCTAATTTAATGAGCACTAGAATCATTCTTTGAAGGAAGTAACCGCTAAGAAAATGAGAAGTGGCTTAATGAGGGTAATATTTTTATAACTTGGTCAACTGCAACTAATCTAGTAATGTTTATTTCCTTAACAGAGCTAGAAATTTGCGTAGAGCTTGTCTTACACTTGTATTCTACTAAAACAAGTCTTAGTGTACAGCTAACAGCATCTAGTTACTTCTTTGAAAACAGAGACTTTCGAAGTGCAGGTGTGCTTCCCACATTATTTCAAACTTCAGCACTGCTACTAATCCATATTTATATAACCGAATTTTTAAAAGATCAAAGGTTAAGAGGTGCTCAGCATTTGGAAAACAAAATGCCTTACCTGCGTCTACTATTTTAATCAGCTGTCTAACTTGAGACACTGAAGCTTGAAAAATATGATTAAAATTCTAAATTAACTGTTCATAGACAACTCCATTGTTACTGAGTGTATTTAGATTGCTCATTATTTTCTGAAGTTATACTTGAAAAATCTGAATGTGCCATAGAATTCATACTGCTTATACTGTGTACCTTTCTAAAATACAGTTTTGGATATTAAGTATACTACTGTTGAAGCAGTAATGACATGCAAGATACGTATTTGGTATGCCTATGGTGATTTTTTTCAGGGTCTAGGTGAAATTACGTTTATATACTTGTTTCAAACTGCATACACTTTTAAGATTTTGGCACTGATGCTGTTGGCAGATCAGAAAGGAGCTGTCAAAAGACATGGAATCATATTAGAACCGTAAGGCCTTTGTTATATTTGAACACTTTGCATATGGCGTACAGGTAGTGTTGGTATATAGATGCTTCTCAGAGTTGGACACAGAGAGAGCAGGATTTGCAATGTCAAGCTCTGTCTTACGTTTGTAAGTAATAGATGTCATCATATGCATATATGTGTGACTACTGAAAAAAATCCTGCTGTGCAAGAATCCTTCATTATGTTGTGCAGTCTGCCCTTAAAAGAGGTATTTTCAAAAGCAGCAGTAATTCAGTGAATTTGATTGGTTGATTGTAAGTCTTTGGTTTGATTTTTTTTTTTTTTAGACTTTATGCAACACCTAAATTTTGACAATTCCAGGTTATATGTTCATGCATTAAGTTTTTTAGAAAAAATTTTCAAAGCCAGTATTGAAATCAGTGGGAGTTTTTCTTGTGCCCTAACTACCATTTTCCAAAAGATATTACTCTTAGCAGCCTGTAATACATGCAAATGGTTTGTGGAATAGATGTATAAAGATACTGAAGAATGTAAATCCATTTCCTAAGAAAGCTTACATCTGCCCACATGTCATCAGAAACTTGGACAGCTTTATCTCCTAAGAATATGTAGGCTTTATGGTCTTCAGAACATTTCTTTCTGAAGAAGATAGGACGACTTCTTTAGTTGATAATTACGGAATGAAAATGATGTTCTGAGGAATTAGTACTATCAGTCAGGTGTTAATCAATATTGCTCTGCTGACTTCAGTTATTTTTATATGACACTGGAGATCTGGCCATTAGAAGATGGTAGGGGATAAGCTTAAGTAAAAAGTTTACTGTACCAGAACAGAAAAGAATTGCAGAACTAATAGAATGCCATTTATATTAGGAATATAATAACAAGCAAATGTTTTGAAGGACCTAGTTCCAACATAGCTTCTTAGCTTCCTCCACCTCAACAGAGCAGTTTGTTAAATTGTGAAAATATTGTTGCGGCAAGATACTTATTTGGGGTATACCAGCTACAGGCTAATTCACTGAGGATGTTGTGGAGGTGATTTGTTTCAGTCAGATCATACTGGTCACTGAAATCACAATTAATTTCTGAATTGCATTTTGTCACCTGCATCCAATGCTGCCCATGGAGAATGCTGCCTCTGTGTGATTACATATACATGTATTTATATAACTGAGGTAAAAAACTATGCTGAACAAAGGCCTGATGAGACCTTTTTCTCAAGCCTAGAAAAAAGCACAAAGCTACTGCAAAATTAAACAAGGTTTGAAAATATGACGTCAAGGAAAAATGGAAAGATTAATGCTTTTTTCCAAAAATTGCATTTCTAAATGAAATGAAAATACTAAATTACAAAACAACCGATCAGCTGCAGTGATAATACCAAAAACCAAAATACCAAAAACTTATTTAACATGGGGTAAAGTTCTTTTGTAAATCATATTTAAATACTGTATTGTAAAAAAAATGCAATGACTAACCTGTATAAATTATACCTTAATTGGCTGGCATGGCTTCCTTTAAGAGTGTGAGCTGTTGGTAACATGATGACAAATGAACACTAATGAAAGGTAATAGGTGTTAGAAAGCATACTCTTATTCATGAGTGCTACTCTGCTATCTGTCAATGCATTTTAAAGCATGATGACATGGTTTTCAAATGTACAAAGAACTTTTTCTTCTTGCAGCATTATGTACATTTAATGTTTTTAAGAAATTTGTCTAATGAGTGTCCAAGTTGGGTAAAATGCTGCATGTTATCACACCTGTTGTCACTGGTATTTTTTTCTCACGTTAAATTGAAAAGGGCTTGCATGTTCATTTTCAGCTTTCCCTTCATGCACACATTTTTCTGAGTTAATGTTTCATATTTATTTTCATTTTTCCATTAATTTCTTCCTCTTCAGGTGCAATCTAGCTCCTGTGGTGGAGTTTGCTGCCGATGTGGGAACTAAATCTGATTTTATTACCATGAACCCATCAGTTGTACAAAGAGCATTTGGAGGCTTTCGGAATGAGAGTGACAGAGAAAAATTTGTGCATAGACTATCCATGCTGAATGACAGTGTCCTTTGGATCCCTGCTTTCATGGTCAAAGGCGGAGAGAAGCATGTGGAGTGGGTTAATGCATTAATCCTTAAGAATAAATTGAAAGTGCGAACTGCCTATCCATCACTGAGACTTATTCATGCTGTCAGAGGGTAAGTGTCTGGAAAAGACTGGTCTGTCCTTGGCACAATGAAGCTCATAACTAGAATTCCTAGCAGGCAGAAAAAAGCTCAAGTAAAATGTTTAAAGGAGTATGGTATTTCCATTATTGTTGTAATGGATTGCTTTTATGATAAAATAAGTTTGTTTGGTAATAAATGTCATCCACACATTTAGCCTGCAAACAACCGAAATACATTAGCACAATAACTTTTCACTTTCACTTTTATGTACAAAAATTTTTTATGATCATTATAGTGATAAATTAATGAAAAAATAGTCTGAATTCAAAAGATATCTGTAAGTCATCAAATCAGAGGACAATGAAAGTGCTACATATCTTCTTTTGGGCAAGAGATAAAAAAGAATTTAAATAGCATAGGGGGTAGGGTAACAATCATGTAAATAATGAAGTCTGGCAGATCTGAAAATAATGAGCTCTTTCCTAAAACGTCTGGGATTTTGTAGCAATCTTTCGCCTTTTGAATTTGGCCAGATGCTTGGGCAATTCAAAAACATTGATCAGAATCACTGAAAACATTCATGTAACCAGTTGTTAAAAAAAAATGCATCCATGCTTTGTGCAGAGACTTTTTTTTTCAACCCCATAATTAAACAAGATTGTCAGAAGGCTCCAATGTCACTACAAGTAAGAGTATATGGGGCTATGCATGAAAAACATTCAGAAGATGACAGTAGTGCAATATCTGTTTGTGCAGTGAATTATGACAGCATGATAATATTCAGCTTTGTGTTCCTTGAACTATGCTGTCTGTTTGTGGGGTTTTGGGAGATGCCTCTCACTTTGGGAGATTAGTGTTGGCTTGTACACCAGTAACTGATTATGTATCTGCCTAAAAAGTTGTTTCTGTTCCAGCAGCAAAGATAAGATCAGAGGGGATGTTTGAACTGTTACCCCAATCTAGTATGAAAGTATGAGAATAAAGCTTAGAAATACGTTGTTCTTCAGGATACTAGGACTTTTGAATATGCTTTTCTCCTTCTGCCACGTCTCAGATAGTTTAACTGCTGTGTTGTTCATGTGGTACACTTCTGGCACTGGAAAAAAAAAAGAATCTGTTCTCTTTGGAATTTTGAAATCTTTTGGAAAGCCTTTAATTTTTTACTGGGTTGCTCAGTTTCCATAGTTGTTGGGATAGTTGTTTTATTTTACAGTTACGCTGTAGCTATTTATGGGCCTTGATTGTGTTGAATTTTCAAGTATTCAAAATGCCTGTAACACATGGAAGGGTGTAGTGGGTTTTGCGTATGTGTATAAATCTGAATAAATAAGATTACTTCCAGTTTACAAACAGCTGTTCTCATTTCCATCTGCTGAATCTGGGCAAAATTATGAAATGTGAATGGTAATTCAGAATGTGCAGTCTTTCAGCTGGCCAATTTGAAGGTCCTTTTGGGGGCTTTGTCTTTAAAAAAAAAAAAAGAATTAGCACCTACATTGTCTCCCTGAAAGAAAGGCAACAAAAGCTCTGCCATCAGAATTGGTGTTAAAAATTAAGACTACACTGTATTTCAGATTATACCTAGCAGTGTCATCTGATAGGACTGCACAAATTTGTCAGGTTGTTGAATCTGTGCTCTAAAGCTTAGGTCCTCCACTGCAAACCTTGTTGTTTAATCACGACGCTTTCCCTTTTTTGTTCTTGTGGGAAGTAACCAAATATCATGTATTCTTTACTGTTCTTTTTTTTGTAATTTGAGTAAGAACAAAACAAGAAGTCAAATTTATCTTTGGTCTAACTCTTGACTTAACGCAGTGAGGTGCATGACGTGAATATGTCTTCGTGGGTGGGGTTTGGAAGTGATACAGTTAGCAGTAATACATTTGGAATAAATATTCTTTAGATTTCTTAGAAGGCAGTCTTAAAACACCAGCCCGTAATAATGAGGTTTGTATTACAGCAAAGTTAAATCTAGGGAAAGAGTATCGTCTTTTTACAGGCTGAATTACATCTCTTTAAGATCTGTTAGGTTTATATGTCAAATGGTATACCATGGCAGTATGAGAAATTCATAAGCAAAAACTGTTCTTAAAATGTGTCTGAGCTAAAAAAATATTTTCTACAAAGAAGTAAAGTAACTTGAAAAATAAAGTAAAATTAAAAGCTGCATAATCCTTTTATCAAACAGTCCATTTTGAGGAGTAAGACTTGGGAAAGTTTAAGCAAGTTACAACTGCTAACTTCAGTTTGAAACTAATGGACAGCTAAGTCTGCTGCCATTTAAAACAGTGTGTGCAACTAAACATACTTAGTTTTAAGGAAAATCTTCATAATACTGTATCTATTGTGCTCATGTTTATTTCAAATTCAATGTAAACTGATGATTTATGAGCCTCTGAAAAGATACTACCTAAAATTAACTCCTATAAAACACTCATTTTATGAATCTGAACTATTTTTGTGTATTTGTTTTGATATATTTGATATATTTGTTTGTATATTTGATGCTTTTGCAAGCTCTCTGCTTGCAAGTTTGTCTTTGTGACCATGTTAACAGTGATGACGTAGTGGAGGCCTGTGCTGCTGCAAAACAGAAAGGATAAAATAAACCTAATGTGAAGATTGCTGTTAGTTGAATGAGAAGCGAAAACAGGAAATGTACCCACAAAACCTGCATGTTAAAACACACAGCAAGACCTGTGCAGACCATCTAATCTCCTTCATAGGGTGCCTGAGCATATGCGCAAGACTGAGAATGCAAGGCTTATGTGACATCTTTCAGCCTTTTAAGCTGTAAGAGGGAGATGGAGTTTGAGTTACTGATGAAAGCATGATAAGGAAAGCTGAACTGCAAGAAGTGGTTTTTGTAGACTGTCTTACTTTACACAAGGAAACTACTTGCATCTGTAGCCTTTGTTTTGTAGACTCTGAGCATTCTCAAATAGTTGTATCTTTGTGTTCGAATGTAGCTCGATGATTTTCATTAAGGGGTACAAAAGTGTAGAGCAGACACACTGGGAATGTAGCATTTGCAATCATTGTCCTGTATTAATATTTGTAACATCCCTAAACTCCTCTTAACTTCCATACAAGTAAATATTCACTTCTTTTGTTTCCCGTTTCTTACCTTGATAATTCCAAAGCATTCTGGCTTTTCTTTTTATTTGAGTATGCATATTTTTCATTAAATAATTTATATGAAGGTAGTTAGAGCTGTTTTAAATTAGACTTTAATGATAAGAGAATCAGTCGAGTCGGTGTGTGTCTTACCTTGCTTTTTATATCTTGAAACCCCCCAAATTCATAACAACTTAAACACAGTGAGATTTTTGTTAGACCATGCCAAAGACATAATACCAGGAGGGTCTACTGAAGAACTGTTCCTCAACTTGAAAGCATATTCTTATGGAGACGAATAAAAGGTGCAATTTTATGTTTAATAAGCTAAAAGATTCCATTAAGCTGTTTCAGAAGACTTATGCACCCATGTGTTTTTCCTGTACCACAGATACACGTGTAGATGTGGTATACCACAGGGCTATACCATATCCATATCATTCAGCTGGTTGAAATGAGGCTTTTATTTGAAACTTTAGCATATTATATTGCAACTACAGATCTTCATAATCTAAAAATATAAAACACTGATACAGGCCTAAAACAGCCTAAAAAGAGAAGATGTCTATCCAAAAAAGTTACAATTATAAAGTCTTCCTTTTTTTGGAAGAACAAATAAATTCCCAGTGTAAATTTAAATTGCTATCAAGAGTTCATTGATTTAATGCACCTAAAATGTTATTAAAAATATGGAAATGCCATGTATTGTGGGCTAAGTCATTTAGTAGCTAATCATGAATAAAGTAAAGTTCATAATTCCAACCTGACAAATTAAGTACTAATAAAGACATTTAATGCTGAAGGGTGCAGGCTGATGGCCACAAGGTTTGGAAAGTATTGTCTCTATTCCTTTTTGTCTGTATCACAGTGCCAAATTGTTCTGGCAAATTAGGTTTTTTCTTCATCAGTCTTTAAAGCATAAGGCACAGGCAGTTTCTAAAGACAGAACATTAACTGTCTTAGACTTCTGATCTAGTGAGGCCAAATTCTGTATTCCTATGTACTGGTTTACATAGTAACAGGGCAGTTTTGCTGCAGTCACATATGACACTGAAATTCTCTCCTATTTTTCCTTCTCTTTTAATGAAAGAAACTTTCTGAGCAGCACGTAGTATTTGGGAGTAGCTTTTGGTGAGATAGTAGAATAATGACTGCATTCTGAGATCATTCTGAAAAACTTTATTTTTTCCTGTCCATTTGTGCACTTTTTGGGTCATAAGAAAGGTAATGTGGTGTTTGAAAAAGAAATTGCTTTTTTGCAGATTTCACGCCTTATTAAACTTCTGTGAGTGATGGCCACTCCTCTAAAATCTCAGAGGAATTTGAAGTTTTGAGAACAGATTATGTAAATACTCAGTCCAACATGATAACTCCTTTTTTAATCGGTAGCATATCTTAAATAGCCATTGGATTCACATTCTTTACTTCAGTAGATTTAGATCAAGTGATAATTTATTTTCTCTATTCTACTTTTGTACTTACTGATCAACAAGTTTGTATTTCAGGTGAGAATATTGGATTTGGAAAGTTCTTTGGGGGCCGTTGCATGATTTTTTCGTTTTATAAAGCTGTTTTATGGAACTTTTAATGTAATTGTGCACACATTATTGACAAAATAATTGAGGTAATCAATACGTAACAGTTCAAGATGGAACTAGAATCTATAAATGAAGAGCTTAACTGATTAAAATGATTTATTTGCTCTCTAATGCCACTGCCAGGAAGGTCAATTATAAAGTAATTATAATGAGCAAACCACACAACTTTTTTTTTTTTAATTGCATTTAACAACAAATTTCACAAACTTTGATTTATTAATATGCCTGAGATTTAATGCTGAACTCTTTCATTAGGATTATTTTTAATAATATTTTCCAAGTGAGATGATACTCTGTGAGGTGTGGACAGTGTCT